CTCTGGTACTTTTGTCAGCACAGCTGGCTTCTCCTACTTGATTTACAACAGATCAGCAAAATGCACAATCCTGTGAGCACTAGCACTACTGTACTTAACATTTGCTTCAACTCTCTATTTCTACAGCCCAGTTTTCTGCCACAACGGTTTTGGTAAGAAGCGGCGTACTCTGTGGCCAGAAACCCTCAACCACCAAGGACCCCATAGACATACATGTGCGATTACTCACCACCCTGCCAGCACGCCTTCACCTTGACCTACAGGCTTCACAACTAGCATAGAGGAGGCTGTTTAATACTCATGCCTTGGCACCACTTTAAGTGCCAGGAAAATTCACAAGGAGCAGTAGTAATATACTTAAAATTACACCAAAATCTCACTCTAAACAAGTTGCAGGCTGAGTTCAAACCCTGATCAAGCTTAGAAGGCAACCAAGCAACTACTTACACCAAGGTCAAAACAACCTCACCTCGCAGACTGTGAACAGTGGCGAAAGTTTCTCCAAACACCCAGAAGAAGCATGGCTTCCCCTCTGCTTTACACAAAAATAGCATAAACCCTCCTTGCCTCATCCTTCATGCCCAAAGGCGTGCTTCAGCTTGCAACTGTTTCTATTTGCATGTGATAATTTTAACTGGCAATTCTAGAAAATATTCTGCACAGCTGCATTTAAATTTCACCTTGCAGACCTGACACAACTCATTTATACAGGATCCACTTCAGTCCCTGATTTCCCAATCAGCAGCCTGGTGACTACCATCAGCAGGCACTGAGCTAGGGAACCAGAAAGCTTTGCTTTTTCTCCCAGTTCTGCAAGGCAGGATAAAAGCGGCACAGTTTCTTCACTGTCTTCACCTGTAAAATGGGGACAGTACTCCCACTGTAAAGTACTTGAAGATCTAATGTGAGAAATGCAATGTATTTTCAAAAAAGCTAAGCTAAAATATATTGCTCTTTTCATTCTCTAGATAAATACTTCATTACACTCTTTGTCCTGCACTTCCACAATGATTTTTTTTTCTACCTAATCTACCATTTTGACTAATACAATTATTTTAGTATATTGAACTCAGACTAATACAAGGATACAAAATCTAAATACCACTGCAGACATACAGCAGAGCCTACAGAATATTGTACCACTATTTTTACGGCTTCAAAAGTAGAGAAAAGGGTATAGATCAAGGCAGCAAGGAAAACGTTCACTTTATTTATTTTAATTCTCCCTTCTAGTTCTCACTAATTCCACTCACTGGTAATAGCTGAAGGCATACACCCAAATCAGTGACTCATGGCACAACCACAGTTTAAACAGTCACTGGGTTTTCAAAGTAGTGCTGTTCAAAAATTGCAATATTCCATCCCAGGAGTTTAATTGCCTTTTCTTTGTTTAAAAAAAAAAAAAAAAAAGAAAAAGAAAAACACCACTGACAACAGGTGCTTTTTTTAGTTCATGTACATACATAAAAAAAAAAAAAAAAAAAAACCCCTCCTGGCCCCCCCAGCCATACCCCATAGTCTAGCAAGTCGGCACAGATGTGAGGCACATCCTTCCCACTCATGCTTCTTTCCCAGGTTACTCTCCACAACCAGAAACACAAGATAGAAGAATTCCCCAGGCAATTTCAGCTTCAAGATTAGCCCAACTCCTCTGCATGTGTTCTGGAAATCTCCAAGTTCTTTAATTCCAACTTATTTTTTTTATTATTATTATATATTTTAAATAAGAAAGCTTCTCCCACGTTTTTCAAATGAGTAATTTTACTTTAACAGCTGTTCGGAAACTTTTTTTTTTACCTCAATGCCAACCTCCCAGACACATTATTTATAAAAGGCTGTCTTTCTTAATACTTGCTATTAGTCAAAAAAACAATAGAGTGCTTAGTAAACACCTTAACTGTTCAATCTTCACATCCTTTAAATAATGGGGCGGATTCAAAAGGGATAAGCCTTCAAACCAGAACTTTGCTCATTTTGTAAAGAGCCACAAACACTCTGCTACAGCCCATTTCCCCTCATTTTCCAGGTTCTGTAACTACTGCTTTGTATCTTCAAAGATACATTAAAATGCGACATAAAAGATATCCCAGAGAGCAGAAACTCATAAATTACTTGCATCCTATTCTATCTACAGTAGGTCTTCCAGCTCCCCAGAACAGGTATGTACTTCAACACGTCATCCCACATCATCATATGTTCAGGATACCAATCACACAAGGGATGTTCACATGCAAGCTCTCACCTGCTTGAACATTAGATCTTTAATTTAGTTAAATATCCTGCTGTTAACACAATTTTTAACTTAGGTTAGGTGGTGACAGGTGAAGGGCAAATGTGGGTCTGCATCAGTTTAACCACTTTTTTATTCAGATAAGATCTGTCAGTTTGGGTTTCAGGAGGGCTGGACAAAAAAGGACCATCAATAGAAGGGAAAAAATTTAGACACAGGAGGATGAATGCAGAATTTCTTTAGAAGAAATGTGGACACGTACCGAAATACCCACTCCTGGCCCCCAAAGAACAAATGCTATGTATCACCTTGGCTACCATCTTCTTCCTCCTGCAGAAGCACACAGAAGTACAAAACACTGGCGCTGCAACAAGCCTGCAAGTGTTAGCCTCTTTCCACTAAGACTACATAAGGGCTATGACGGTGGCTGCAATCTTAAGTCTTCTTTCTAAAAGAGGCAACTAAGGAAATAAGATTCACCCTTTGGTGTAGGATGAGTGGGCAGTAGCGACCGATAAAAGCCTTTATTTATCTTCTCTCCCTAGGCTACATAAAGCAGTATTAGATGCAAGTTTACAGGCCCAACAATACTCCGTTTGGGTTGGGATATGGCTCCAGTTCCTCCCCCACACCCTTCCCTTAAAACTCTTCACAGGTTTGAAAGATCAAAGGAAGACACCTCCATTACCCTCTTCCATTTTGTTAGGTAAGAATATTTCTATTGCATAAAAGCATGTGTGCATGCATGTGTATCTATCTCAGGAATTTAGCAGAGTCTGGGAATACCATATCCTTCCTCCCGAGCCCAGGGCAGCAATACCGGGGTCCGCAGGCTTTACTTTGTTCTCGGCTGGGTGGAGGATCCCACCTCCCACTCCAAACCTGGTTCAAAGTGGAAACGGCTCCTAGAGGTCAGGAGGCAGCAGCACCACGGGAGACATCTTTCCCCCACACTCAGCAGGGAGAGAGGCAGCAGCGAGCAGAGGCCCTGGCCGCCCGCGGCGGGGGCAGGCGGGACGCCCGGCCCTCTTTCCCGGGGCCCGCCGGGAGTCGCGGC